CAAAACCCCAAAACCCCAAAACCCCAAAACCCCAAAACCCCAAAACCCCGAGAAGGCATAATAAATGAAATTAAAAAGAAATAAAATGTTATCGAAAAAAGTTATTTAGTCTAAAGATGTTACTGGACTCATTCAGTAAATATATTACTTGCTCATGTCATTTAAGTCTAATATTAACCGTTTTAGCGATATCAACACCTAGAACTTATATAAGAAAAAACTGAAAAGGGTCAAGCCACATCTCCTCAATACTAGAACCACCAGCTACACAACTGGACTTCAGACCGTGAATCAATCAAAGCAGGCATCTAGGTGTACTTTAGTCTCGCCAGTCAATGCCATCGATGTCACAAGTGTCCTTCAGAATACCAATAGAAATGAGATACTGAGACCTTTGGAATTCCAGCCACCTATGAAAGAGAGGTATGTGAATCAGAATATGTTGAGATAAATTAGGATATATCTGAGTAATTGTGTTATAGGAATAAAGAGATCAGAAGAAGTAATGATATTTTGCTGGACAATATGCTCAAAGTTCTTAATGTATAAATCATCAAACCATTCATCCTCCTTTTTATAATTTGAATTAGGATCATAATATATATTATAGAGAAAGAACAAGTATAAAGATGAACCTTTTAGATTGAGTTAAAGCCTAAATGCCATTACAAAGAAAAAGCAAGAATGATCAATCAATGTTTCTAACTTGAGAATGGTAGATAAACTATCTAGATTATCAGCTAATTACCCATAATCAGATTGGAAGTAGCATGACAGAAGGCATAGCGATATGAGATAAAAGTTGAATTAAATGTGCTAGTTAAAACATCAAAAGCAATTTGCAAAGAAAGTACTTATAGATAAGTAGCAGTTGTTTCAAAACATAGCCTCAAGTAACTATTCTAATATAAGCAACAAGAATCAAATGAGCTTTCAAAGCTATAATAATTACAGTAATAATGATGTGTATTCTGGACGTGGATTCCCATAAGTTCAAAATTCAACCTAGATACCAGTGTTCATTACCCCAAAGAACTCACTATTAAATAGAAGTGCTTTACAGCATAGCATGAATAATACCAAGCCAGATAATTCTCGCTAGCAATAAATTTCATCGAATATGAGCACAGTTCAATACATTACTGTAGAGGAGTAAATGAACAAAGACATTGAAGCAGATCTCAGCCACACTAGGAGGTCGATGCAATTATAAAAATTTAATACAACTAAGAAGTATTATGTAAGAGTTAAGCCCTAGTCCAGCTTAAACGAAATGTTCAGAAGTCTTGAGGATTAAAAATTCCTTAATGTTTGATTCTTTAACTAACTTAAATTTAACGAAATTAAGAGGCTTACTATTTTAATTGATTAATATTATAAAACTGAGAAAGAGTTAAAATCTCACTTCAAATAATTACCACAAGCTTAATTTAATAACATCATAACTTACATTGGTCAAATTCAAATTATAATTCAATTCACTTTTCAGATAGCTTGTATTTCATCAAGTACTCTATTCTCTCTTTTTCTTTGTGAGTCTTGATCTATGACACAATCTTAAAACCCGTCTCGCTTTCAAATACTTTATCTTTCTTCATAATTTTAATAAATTTGTGCATTTCAAGAGCAGAAGGCAGCATTGTTGAGATGTATGCCACTCTAAATTCCTATTGTCTTTCATCTTCATATTTTTTATCTCTCAACCTACGTCTTACCTCTTCCTAGTAATTTCTGATATCACTGGTATTTTAAGTAATCTTATCACGATTTACGACCTAAAATGCATCCCTAAGCATAGATTTAGCTCTTTTATTGCCAAGTATCATATCAAATGCTTGATTAACCTCCTTCTTTTTCATCTCTAGCTTTTAGAAAGAGTGCTTTTTATCTTTTAAACGATCTAATAGTAGACTGTTGTAATCTTTCCTATCTTCTTCGTCAAAATTTGATGTTTACTGCACTGTCATAGACTTATTCCTGTCTTACCCTTGACGCTTTTTGCCATCCCTTACCTTGGCTAATGTGTTTGTTAAGTTATTTTAAATGGGCTCTTCATCGTAGATTGATTCAGTTTAAGTATAGAAAGTTGTATTAAAAGTATCATAGAAGGTACCCCTAGCTTTTTACTAATTGAATAAATGATTTGATTCAGGTTTTAATACATAGTCCTCTTCCTAAGTTAAGATCTAAACTTACTTCATAATTGTTTAAGTTGCATTCATATTCATTGTTCTCTTCATTATATTCTTCTGATTCTCTAAGGCATTCGGGTTCTCATCAATTCTTTCTAGTGTTAGCTTATCTTTGTTGAAAAAATTAATCTTGCTTCCATTATAAAAACTTCCGTGTAAAACTCCTGCTAATGCTAATGGAATCTAAGTTTTGTCAATAACTTACACTTAATTTATACTAGTTTTATTATTAATCTAGTTCGGCTATTTATCTTGTATGAGAGGAGACTTTTAGTTGTCAATTGTTAAGTCTATAGTCTTATTTTAAGATTTTTTCTTTTACTTGCGCTTTAATTGTTATTTTATTATTTCTTCTAATTGCCTTTTTTCTCTTTCTTTGGGATCTTGATATATAGGATTGTTAACTTTTGTAAGTTTATAGGCCAGATTTCTATCTTATCTATCCTCTTCTCTGAAATTCTCATCATAGCCAACATCTTCACTAAGATTGATCATCTTAGTTGTCCATTCTTATAAATTCTTTTCAAGTTATTTGGAGTTGACCGGCCTTTTAGGCTATGGTGTTGTTAAATCAATAGTGTGTCTATTCCTTTTGAAATAAGCTCGTCCATTTTTAGGCTATAATGTTGCAACACTCATACTATTATTATGATTAGTATTACTCTACACTTAAAGACCACTTTCCTAGTTTCTAGAATTTTAATTTTTTATTTGCTATCTTGCCATTTAAGGTATATTAAGGGTGGCAGCTATACTGTCTTTCTTGATTAAATATTAGTAATTTTTTCTAATCCATTTTAAAAATCTCAACTTATTGAATTTCCGACCAGCATCCATTTAAAGAAAGACCTCATTTAATTGTACATTTGAAAGTTCGTACCCTATCATTGAAAATAACTCCTCTATCTGCTTCATAGTAATCTTTTGATCTTCTTCAATATCCAGTGAGTCTAGTTCTTTTTCGACTATTTCTGCAAATATTTGTTTTTCTTTGGCTGCTATTTGTATTCTTTTGAGCTTTTTAATGTAGTCGAGCTAGTTCTAAGTGGAGAACACTTATTCTATGTCAATTTACTCTTCATCAGCATTTTTGTTTTGCACTTTGAATTTCATGTTCAAAAGTCGCTTTGAACTCTAGATTCTTGAAGATTAAGCTAATTTGAGTTGATTGTTGATTTCCTCGGTCGCTCTTTAAATTGATGCTTGATCAACTAAGTCTTTATTTTCAAACGAGATTCCAAATAATTCCTCTTGACGTCTCCTTAGTTCTTTTAGAGTTATCATTTTAATATTATAATTTGGATTTATTTCAATCAATTTTCTTTAATATTCCTTCTAAGGGGTTTTGGGGTTTTGGGGTTTTGGGG